CATGTTCAGGTTGTTCCTCTTCTTTTTTAAGCATGGTACTCATGATATGGAGGCGGTTTGCGTCGGCAAATGCTACGAAGGGAATCTGCAATTGTTTCGCTCTGAACTTCCAAATGAAACTGGCTAATGAAACTGTTTTTCTCGGATGTTTCTCTTCTACTATCGCGTTAAGATCTCCTTTTCGATATATACACTGGACTTCTTTCGCACTGTGCTTTCCAGTTCCTCGTACAGCTGCTCCACTTTTTCACTGTCCGCTCTGTTTGACTGCGAACTTCGATTTTCATTAGTGATCGTCTCTTGTCCGCCAGCAGAATTAACACGATAACAGGAGGTAACACGAGGTCGCAGTTGACTACGACCGGTTCAACCTTCTTAATTACGATGAATACCACACCGCTTGCCCAGCTTCGCATTCTTTCCTGAGTAATAGTTGATCACCATTGTTCCATTGTGCGATAAGGTTGGCGGATCTGCGGGTTCGCACGCACTGAAAAAATGTTTTGTTTTTCTTTTCCCCGGTGATGAAGATGTCGACGAGCGCGTCTGACAACAGAGTTCTAATGTGGCTAGCCTCCAGAATTCTGATGATAGCCGTTTGCGATCTAATGATCATTGGGCGGTAAATGATTTTAAACATTTCGGCAAACTATCGTGAGCTATAGCCTTGTCATTTACATCCTTTAACTAGTCCTTCGAGATTCAGAAATAACGATGCTACCATTGCCAAATTTGTGGTTTAATGAAGAGTAAAGTCAGCAGGTCATTATAATGGTTTATCCGCACGCGTTCATAGGGAGGTTACGGCTGCATTCGTACGAAGTTGAAATAGATCTTTTGCGTAAAAAGTAAACACCCACTGGACAGTCGTCGTGGCAATATCTAGCCAAAATTTGGTTTTATTAAATCGGCAAAAACCTAGTCATATTGTGTAAAGCGTCAAATTCATTTGGTGCGTTTCATAGGAATCACAATATTTTCAATTTTCTGGGTTAAAACGTTTTCGCATTAAAAAGGTAATGAATTTTACATAGAGATACAATTGCTCAATTTACGAAACAATTTTTGCCGCTCGTTAGCAGGATCCGTTTCGATATTTCGCCGATGTTCGGTAATCGATTTCGATTAGTACAGCGCGAATGGCATCTTTTCCGTTTTTGTACGTTTCATACAACGGTGTCCAGTGTACTTGTGCGAGACTGGTGATGAGACGGTAAATGAGCAAAATCGATGTCGTTCGTCATGCGCTGTCCTGCATTTGATTTCGCTTCAGAGAGCTATTCATGAATTTTGAACCTGCGAATCAATTTCATTGAGAACAGTGTGCCAAAAACGTTGTTGCGCGATATTTAACATGATGCTAACGGTAATGAAACTCATTACTGATGAATACTGATGCACAGAGCTTTTGTGTAACATACGAAACAATTTATTAGCTAAAACGAACGGAAGCGCGGCGGATGTTGGTGGAGCGCAAAGTCTGTCGCGCGGCCCCGAAGGTCCTTATTTGACTTCAAAAACTTTAGTCGATCTGCCATGACTGTCACCGCCGCCGATGATCGATGTCGCTTGTTGATCACAGGATGTGCCGAATGTTGTTGTCGGTTGTAGCGAAGCTGGTTTCGTCCGGAAGGACGAGTGATTGATTTTCCGATGGTCAGTGTTGGTCACGACAAGCCGTCATGAATTTTCGTCCGTCGTCCGGTCGTGTGTGATCATCAATTAGATGAAGACGCCGGAATGGGGCGGGTCCGGCAAACAGGAACCGGTTGCAAACATTGTGCTGTGCATGCATGTGTAGTTCTCAGGGCCACTAGCATGACTAGACTGAAAACAGCTGAAAGACTGCCTGTCAGTGACGGACTGATCCGATTGTCTGATCTGATCCGACGACGAGCGTAGCGCGCCATTTCGCTTTCTTGTTCATCGTTCTGGGCAACCAGCAAGCGATGGACAGCACCGTGTGATTGACTTCGCGTCACTACTCTTTTCGTATATCTGATGCTTCTGCTTTTATTTGTAGGATGTTCGTCACCTGCTGAGCACGTGCCTCAGCGCCAATCATCAGCCCTGCGCTGCCCACCGTATCCTCTGGCCGGATTGTCAAGTAACATTGCGTGACAGGCCAAGAGGCGGTCGAAAATGAAGAAGTTCTTCCATGCGCTGACGGGTCGTTCGCGCGTTGATTCGCCGCTTGAAGACGGGCGGCGCTGTAAGTCACCTGGTGGCGGCGGCGTGGTCACCGTCAAAGTGGTGAACAAGTTGCACGATGGTGGCGATGGTGTCAGCAGCAGCAACGTCGGCGGTCCTCATGCACCTCAGATGAACGGCAAGACTGATTCAAGCGACGACGGTTCTCGAGCGAGCATCAGCAGCGGCAAGAAAATCTCTTCGCGGTCGATGAAGGTTGAAGTCGATGGCCGGATGCTGGACCTCGCAGAGCTGGAGTCGATTATCGCCAAGAAGGACTTGGTGATCGCCCAGCAGCAGAAGGACATCTGCGGTCATCTGTCGAAGATCAAGCAGTTAGAGGAGCAGGTCAAATCTCTGAAGGTGCGTACTGCGCGCAGCTCTTCTTCAAATACATGTGACTGAATGCAGAATTGCCCGTTTTAAGCTTAACACCTATTTTCGAATCATTGCGGAAACGTTACTACTATTATGACCTATCGTTGCTGTTACTTGTTGCTTATTGTTACTGTTTCTTTTACGAAATTGCAGACTGTTTAAGAATCGTCATCTCACTGTTTCGCATTCCGATGTGAAGAGATGTTGATGTGGTCGTGAGTCGTAGGCCATGACTGAAAAAATTCGATCTTGGTTACAAGCGGCTGAAATAGTCTCATTGAGACGAGTCTTAACGGTACAGGAATCCATAAGACCTTTAGATAGAGTCACTGCTTCTTTTCAATCGTTCAGATTGAGAAGTCACAGCTGTGATGGTATGGACGCATGCTGAGAATGCTTTCAGAAAGGAAGGCGAAGCAACTATTGCTTGCCCATCCGAACGACAGACGACCCAGTGCACGGCCAAGGTTAACCTGTGTGAAATGTGTGGAAGGAGTCTGCTCTAGATTCCGGTTGTCTTCTGCCGAATTTCAGACAATGGCATCGGATCGGGAATGTCGGAAGCATTGTCTGACGCGTTCCCCTCCGCGACTCAAAGGAGAAGCGGTCATGGAGACTGAAATGAAGTGGAGATAGTGATGTGTTGGATGCGTCGACGAAGGAGAGATTCATCGACAATGAATCTTCGGTCTTCTGTTTCTTACCATGTCTTTTTCCGTTGTTCCCTCTTCACTTGAAGCCTTCTGCTGTCGATCTTCCGAAACGAAGATCAAAGCAAAGGTCAGACATTAAATTTTTCACCGTATCAGCAAATCATGGGCGTTGCCTAATTAGTTAACCACGCTGTTTTTGTTTACATGACGCCGTGTTGAAAAACCACATGCACACGTTCAACAGTGCAGCTGTCATTCGTATTCTTAAATCGTCAGTAGCTTAGACGCTTCGTGAGGCTCGCAGAGCATCATTCTTCAGTTCTGTGTGCTTCTCGAGCCTCGAACATGATGAACAGCATCATGTTTTCGTAACGCGCTTTTCGGCAAAGTTCGTAGCTCAACGATAAGGAAGGCTAATGGACTTGAACTGCTGACTCAGCTGATCGACAGGACGCAACCATGATCTTTGAACATGTCTGCGAATTCCACTGCAGAGCTTGACCAAACGGCAGTTTTTTTCCTGGTCCCTCAGAACGGCCCAGAATGACTGAGAGCATGTGCGCCAGTGAAATTAATTCCATACTTTAGATGTGTCCCACCGATTTCACATACTGGCACAGGGTCATGAATGATGATGACATTCTCTGATCATCACTGCCGGTTTGAAACTACAAGCAGTAGCCAAAACTGACTGATTGATTGACCGACGGACGGGCAAAACTGACTGACCGATTAATCGTAACCTTTTGACTTGTTTGCCTCGCAAAAGGTGCAGATTGACTTCGTCGACTCTGTCAATGAATCGTTTGTCATTTTCGAACTGTTGCCCTAGCTGAACAGTGGATCCATCGATCGATTCGGCTGAACGCCTTGTATGGGCAGAACGAGGATACTGCAGAATGCTTGTTGAACGACCCCCTCAGCTTGCTCTCGAGCATGTCGCTTGTTAACCTGCTCGATGAACGATGTGGCATGATAATTTATAAGTTACGTAACATGGCATTGTAAGATATGAAGTACTCTGTTGCCACTGAAACGCCCTACCATAATCACGTTCGAGTGTTTGGTCAACACTGTTTACTGGCTTTCGCAAGACCTCTTATCATGCCAGTGTATTACTACGAGAGAGGGCAGAGATGTAGTTAACACATCAAAAGCATGCAAATTCTTACTAAATGACAGTACATAACAGTTTCATTATGCATAGCTTCTCTGACTCTGTGGATCCTGCCTATGGATATTTTTCTTTAAGAGCTACTTGAGTAATTGTTTTTTCACTCTTAGTAGGATGATCGGGTAGCTGGTCTTTAGGATGAAACTTGTCCCCCCTCTCATCTTCCCCGACTGGTTGATATTCCCTTGTTTTTCGGCTGAATCGGCCAGTCTCGTATTCGTCTTACCGAGGAAAAGTTTTTTCTTAAAATTTTTGCTGTTCAAGTTACAGTCACTGCTTCCACACTTTCCCTTATTCCGTTCATTTATTTCTCGTTTCATTCATTGGCTTTTATTACTTCAGTGTAAATTTCACTGTTATATTATTGCTGATTCATTCTGCTTTCAACACCATTATGTGTACTGCGAACAACGGCAGGATAATTTTTACGTAATACATATGGGAATCAAGGAACTACGCTTCAAGGGTCCATGAGGGTACGAATTAAATGCTGATTAGGAACCGTTGATATTCTGTATGGTTCAGTTCTTGTTTTCGGGATGATAAAGTTATCTCGAGTAGCAGGCTGTTAAATGTATATGAAGTAAAGGCATCTTGCAATAGCCGTTCAGCGAATGGGGCAGAATAGTTATTAAACAGTCTGCACCAAGGGTTTAGCCTCGAGACCGTATTTCAGTTTTCCAGATTCGCGATTGCCCTAATGCATCGTTGCAGAAGTGCAAAGTCACTGCTTCTTAAGTTTGTAAAATAGGCTGGACAAGCACAAGTGATCATTAGCGTTATAAAATATTTTATAAACTGCCAGTGCAAATCAGATGAAGTTCCAATCAAGGGTTAACGGCGAAAGTAGCAGTTAGCTTTAATCGCATTGTTGATGACGTAAGCCATGCGATCAGACAATGTTGACTTGTCATTAGCGACTACACTAAGGTACATTACATTTTTAACCCCGGTGACCGGCGTCTAGATTAGATTAGTTTCGTGTTTAGCAATGTTGTCGAGGTCGTGGTTTCGCCTCTTTAGAGAAATAAAGACGAACTTATTCAGGTTAATGATAAATCCATGTAACTTGGACTAGTCTGACAGTTTCTTCACTTAAACTCCTGTAAAACTTCGAGGTCTTACCGCTTTTCGGTACTTGTAACTTTACTATATGCTAGCCACGTCTTTCAGCGCACAACTATCAGACAGTTCATGCATAACTTTACAACGACCTACTAAGCAACGTGAAATATGCGGAACTGCGCACGTGTTGTTCATTCTGTTCGGTACACTATGTCACATCCAAAATCTGTGCCACGCTGATGTCGAAAATTACATAAATCTTTCAGAAGGTCAGCCTTGACGCAGAGAAGATGGCGTATCTAATCAAATTAGATCATATACAATACTGTAAATAATTATGATTATCTGCTTCAGGCCAAAGAAAACGCATATCACGGCTGGTCAGTCATTGCAGCATCGTACTCAGAACTGATAGGCCCTAGGTTCGAGCCCCATTCAGGTCACTGACCTTTCTTTATTGTGACGTTGATAAACGAGTATCTTTCTGTTTGAAGCAAAAAGGAGGCTATGCGTTATATTTGCCATATAGTTGTAGATTCTACCATTGAAAAAAACTCTCCCAGCTGATGACGTAGAAATGCGATCAACGCCAAATCATATGCTTCACGAAATGAAGGGTGCTACAATTGGCCCCAGCATGAAAGTGTAAAGAAGACATATATTTGAACTCTTAAAAACTTTGTTCGTTTTTTTTTCACGCTAAAGATGTTTCGCAAGTTCAGTGAAATTTTCACATCGAAAACGACGATGAAAGAGGTATTTGTTAAAGTGATCAATTGCCCTTGTTCGCTAACAGTGTTCCACGAGGTAGATATCTTACTGTAAAGTATGAACCTGGATTTCTGATGTAAATTGTTGTCAGTGGTTTTTAAACGCCATTTGTGTAGTTCCTCTCCTTATCTTAGGGTACTACGTTTCTTCGTCCTTTTTTGGTTGTAGTACGGCATTATTCCTTGCCTTCCCCTCAGATTGTTCCTTGACTATGAACAAGGCTCTTGTTCACTTCGCTGTATGTGGCTTGTTGGAATAGTTGTCTAAGAAGTCTCCTTGTCTCCTTCGAACTCCGTAGCTGCAGTGTTGGATCCCGCTAGAGGGCAATCTTTGTTAATTCACAAATCCTCTGGAACAAGGAATTTATCACGCATTGCGTCAGACCGCGGTTGCACAATCGATAGAGCGTCGAACTTAAAATCGATAGGTCATGAGTTCAAGTCATTGTCAGGGTCGCTCGCTCTTCTTCCTTTCGTAATTGAAAAATGAGTATCACTCATAGGAAAGAAACAGGAAGCAGTACTCTACGCTTCCCACGTAGCTGTAGACTATACCGAGAAAAATAAGACAATCCTCGCTGATTGTATAGAACCACAGATCATCACCACATCATCAACTTCATGAAAAGAACGGCGTCAAAATGAACAAATCATGAAAGTGGAGGTAGATCAAAATTCCAGCGGTGACTAAATTTCTTTTTCTTTCCAGTCGTTGCGCTATATGGTCATGGAACCAGTGATCGAGCGACATTCATTTCCTCACGTTTCTTCCTCAAAACCTTACCCCTAACTTTCAGGCACTCACAGCTACCGACGAGATTCAGGATGGCGCACTGCCCGGTTTTACGCCATGTTAGACCATTCTGTATATTTGTTCTGGCTTGTATTTCTGGCATGGTTAGGTGTTGAATGTTAAGTTCTAATATATCTTATGTCATGGAATCATCATATAAACGCTCAGAGTAATCAAAAATCGCTTAGGTAATCAAAAACGGACAAGGTGGCGGATAGTGGGAGCATATTCTCACCCAGAGGGAAAGAGATAGAGTTGGCTGATTATGCCGTAACGTACCAACTCGACATACATGGACTTTCATCAACGATGCGCCAAGGCACTGCAATCCTGAACCTCTATGGGTGGAAGCTACTGTATTCAGGTGTCGATATCAAGACGAACGTACAGGCCTGTGTTGATGTTCTGATAGAACCTGTCCTGACTATTAAAATCATTGAACTGAAGCCTGTCAACGGAAGGGTGGCAATCCTCCGACTTAAGCTACAGCAGGCCAAAAAATCATTGACCTTGTCACAGGTTCATGCGCCCAATTTACAGGGACAATTTGTCTCTTTCCTTGAAGAAGTGGA